CCCAGCGATAGGTGACTTAAATGGGGATTTCGATGTGGATTCAATATATAACTTATTTAAGAATATTCTAAACAAAGCACAGGAACGTAGTATACCATACAAATTGAATAGCTCGTATACTAATGACCCAAAGTGGATAACAAAGAATTTGAAGAACCTTATAGGTAAAAAGAGAGCTTGGTACAAAAGGATTAAAAATGGGGAGGTCACTTTAGAACAGGAATTCGTACAACTGGTTAGAAATGTTAAAAAAGAGATAAGGAAAGCAAAAAGAAACTATGAAGTTCGCATAGCAGGGCAAGCAAAGACAAATCCTAAAGGGTTTTTTCAGTTATATCGTACTAAGACTAGGGAAAGGATAGGTCCATTAAAAACTGAGACAGGTCAAATAACAGATAGTGATGAAGAGATGAGTAGTATTTTTAATAAATATTTTGAATCTGTATTTACTAAAGAGGAACTTAACAATATGCCTTCAGCCGAACAAGTCTATGTGGGTGGGGACGAGGACAGGTTGACGAGTTTAGCAGTTACCAGGGAGGATGTTCTTAAACAAATAGTAAAACTCAAACCAAACAAATCCCCAGGGCCGGATGAAGTGTTTGCTAGGGTGCTTAAAGAATGCAAAGAGGAGCTTTGTGACCCACTGTCAACCATATTTAATAAATCAATAGAGTCAGGCAGAGTGCCAGAGTTTTGGAAAGTTGCTAATGTGATACCAGTTTTTAAGAAAGGAGATAGATCACTTGCGTCTAACTATCGACCAATTAGCCTAACGTCTATTGTGGGAAAGTTACTCGAATCTATAATAGCAAATAAAATTCGTCTTCATCTTGAAAAACATAAATTAATAATTGAGTCGCAACATGGTTTTATAAATGGCCGTTCATGTTTAACAAATTTGTTATCTTTTTATTCTAGCATTGTTGAGGCAGTTGATAGTGGTAAGGATTGCGATGTTGTATACCTTGACTTTAGCAAAGCTTTTGATACAGTGCCACATGAAAGACTGATTAAAAAAAATAGAGTCTCATGGTATTGGGGGTGCTATATTAAGCTGGATTAGGGCATGGCTATACCAAAGGAAACAGAGAGTTAGTATAAATGGAATCAAGTCAGAGTGGGAAAATGTTGTAAGTGGAGTGCCTCAAGGCTCTGTCCTGGGACCTCTGTTGTTTATAATATATATAAATGATTTAGATTCAGGTTTGAGTAGCAACATTTGCAAATTTGCCGATGATACGAAAATCGGTAGGGAAATTAATTCGGAGGAGGACTCACTATCACTTCAAGTTGATCTAGATAGGGTTTTGAAATGGTCAAAGGATTGGCAGATGCAGTTTAATGCTGATAAATGTAAAGTTCTGAGGTTAGGTAATGATGATAGAGTTACAAGATACGAGCTAGATGGTGTTGTGATTGCGAAGTCGGATTGCGAAAGGGATCTGGGAGTTATGATTAGTAAGAATTTAAAACAAAAGGATCAATGCATAAATGTTCGTAATAAGGCAAATCGGACACTTGGATTTATTAATCGCAGCGTTAGTAACAAGACACCTGGTGTGGTTCTCAAGCTATATCTTGCTCTAGTTAGGCCCCATTTAGATTATGCAGTTCAGTTTTGGTCGCCATATTATAGAATGGATATAAATTCACTTGAACGTGTCCAGCGTAGGATGACTAAGTTAATTCCCCAAATTAGAAATCTTTCATATGAAGAAAGATTAACAAAGCTTAAGTTGCATTCACTGGAAAGGCGAAGAGTTAGGGGTGACATGATAGAGGTTTACAAGTGGATGAATGGACATAACCGGGGGGATATTAATAGGGTATTAAAAGTATCAACACAGGACAGAACACGAAACAATGGATATAAATTGGATAAGTTTAGATTTAGGAAAGACTTGGGTAAATACTGGTTCAGTAACAGGGTTGTTGATTTGTGGAACCAATTGCCGCGTAACATTGTGGAGGTGGGGTCCCTCGATTGTTTCAAGCACGGGTTGGACAAGTATATGAGTGGGATTGGGTGGTTATAGAATAGGAGCTGGCTCGTATGGGCCAATAGGCCTTCTGCAGTTACCTTTGTTCTTAAGATCAGCATTGTTCCAAATGGATAACAAAAACTGGAACTCAACTCAGAATGTATCAGGTTCATGATTTGTACCAAGAGAAACAACAACGGCACTTTCCTGCACCGTGGGAGGTTACACCCTTTCCAGTTTTAATCCCTCCCTTTCCACCCAAGAAGCAAATTAGAGATCAGCCCAAGCTTCGTCTTGAGGCAAAGCTCAACGCCTTAAGCCATATTGATGCTCTGTCCACAGAGCATTCTCTCTCTCAAATTATATATACTGATGGTTCCCTACACCGCACCACGGGTGCAGCTGGAAGTGCAGTTGTCCTGACAATGGGCGATGGCCTATACTTTGAGTGGGGAGTCCGTATAAACAACTGGGCCTCTACCCTTCAGACTGAACTATTTGCCTTGATCCTTGCACTGAAATGTGTACAAGTCTCAAAACTTGATACATTAATTGTAAGTGACTCCTTATCATCCTTAAATGCTCTCAACTCTTTAAGACATAACTGTAACATGCTCGTGTCCGAAGCTAGACACAAATACAACAAAATTATTAAGGATGGTAACAGAGTCCATTTCATGTGGTCTCCATCTCATGTTGGCCTCCGAATGCATGATAGAGCTGATAAGTTAGCCAAAGAATCTGCCTTTAAAGGAGCCGTTGAGTGTAACCTTGGATTGTCAATGAGCAATCTGAGAGCAGCTGTACACCGAGAACTTCAACAAGATCTTGTAGATCTGAGGCAAAGTGAAATTGACACCAGTAATTCCATCTATCATCATACTATCATGCAAGAGGAGCCACACATCTATGGATCATCCAATAAAATCAGCAGACTTCTAGATGTTACTACTGCTCGGCTTAGACTCGGTTACAAGTATCTCTGGGAATTCTCATTATCTGCTGATGTAGACCTGACCAAATGTAAACTGTGTCAACAAAATTATTCGCACACCCTCCGTCACTATGTGATGGAGTGCGAAAAGATACGTGAATTTAGAGACAATTCTATAACCAATGTTCCAGCGATGTGTCAATATTTCATTCAAAATGATCTGTTACCAGAAATTTTAGCCAAATATCCCCAGTTTGCTAACTGTAGGTAGTAACTAAGTGATTGTAACCTATCCACCGCTGCCCACTGGATGGGGGGCGGTGTGCAGGACAAACATATAAATTTTGACACTAGCTCTCCACATATGTCAGTTGCTTAATTTAGAACCTGTACTTGAGGTCGATCTCGAACCCATTGTTGATGTGATGACTTATATTGAATTTTGTAACTAGCTCATCAAGATTGTAACTTGCTTAGCTAAATTAATTGTGGGGTTCAGTCCCTGAGCCCATTATGTGCCTCTGTAACCCTTTCCAATACCGCCCACAGGATGGGTATGGGGTGCATAATAAATGAACTAAACTAACTAACTAGTCTTTCTAAGATCAGATATTATGTACCTCGCCCTGCCTTGGTAATGCTCTCTTACTCTCTCATCTATCCTTATCTCAATTATGGTAATTGTGCTTGGGGTTCTACAACCCAAAATCATCTACGTCCTCTAATTACCAAACACAAATCTGCTATTAGAACAATTACAAACTGGCCATAGACAGCACTCGGACCCCCCTACTTAAATCTTTGAATATGTTAGATTTTAAGTCACTGCTCGTCCTCTCAAGTGTACTCTCCATACATAAAACTCTGAACTGTAATGCCAATCCTGGCCTTAAACGCTTCTTAAAATGTTGTAACAGAACCCATGGGCACCACACTAGAAACAAATACCTATTTTATATTCCAAAAGTGCGACTTAACCAAACTAGAAATGCTCTGCAAATCAAGGGGGACCCAGTCTGGAATGACCTTCCGAATCACGTCAAAGGCTGTACCTCTCTCAACTAGTTTGAGAGAGAAAACCCAAGTACTACCTAATAAACTACATGTAACCTACCTTACCTCCTAAATGTCAACCAAAGTCTTGCTATTTTCAAACAATATTTATTATTTACCAACTTGTTTAACTGCTGATATCTATCATTTATAAACTTAAAGAAAATTGTAATCTCCTGTTTATTTAGTTAAAAATTTTTTCCCCACAACTTGCCTGAAATGCTGTATGTATTAGTGGCTTCAGGCATTGTATGTACTAGCTCTATCAATAACTCCAACATTATGTTTATAACTCATTTTGATAACTTATTTTATAATTTAATATAATTACTATGCTATGTATCCTCACAATCCCAATGTACCTTCTTGTATATAAATAAATAAATAAATAAATAAATAAATAAATAAATTTTCAATGTATGTACCTTTACCTGAATAAAAATCTTATCTTATTTAAATGAACTTACCATTCTCTGAGATGGGGATATTAGATAAACTCAGAACTAGCTCTTGATCTGTATAGATCAAGGTCTATACAGAGTATAGATCTATATTCTTGATAGAATATAGATCAGAGTGCTATCTCTGTATAGATAAGAGTATAGGAGCATATTACTGTATGCACCTAAACGTGTGTATTATACCATAAAAAATCCGATCATTGGTTCCACCTGATTCAAAAAATAGTTCAGTGACACTGAATAAGTATATTATTATTATTAATGAAGTAGCAGTGAACTATAGTTTTAGTTGCACTATTATTTAATGGCCAATAAAGACATTATTAATAAATAATATAGCAGTTTATCTCATTCTTTTATCAGCAGCTTCCGGTACCAGTGGGCGTTGCCTTCCTTCCCATACACAACGATCACATAACACTTCTTTTCACAAGTCCCACTTATACGAAGTATGTTTATACAGTGATATAAAAAGCGCATTTTGAACAATGACACGTTTAATAACAATTCTTCGGAAAATATGTTAAGAGTAAGCTAGATATATAGTGATATAAAAAAATTTACTTCAGGGCGGATGTGAAGGAGGAGCGGCTGATTCACTGATACCGTCAGCACCCAAACACACCCTGGCTGACGGCTCTTTTGACACTCCTTGGCTGACAGCCCGCTGACACTCCCTGGCTGACGACCCCTCCTCTCACACCCCAACAGCCTTGCTCACCATGGACAGTAAAGGCAGAAAAATCGTAGTATGTGACAATGGAACCGGGGTGAGTGTTGGTGGAGAGAGTTGTGCTCTCGTGTACCGGGTGATGCTGGTACTTATCTCCAGTAAGGCTCCCCCAGGCCGCCTTTCTTCCTAGACTCCCATATATCTTGGTTGGCTAGGGCCTCCAGACACCAGTCTTGCTATTGATTTGATTTTCAAAGATTCTGTTATTATTTGTAGACGATCTCACAGGCCCCTTTCAAAGCTGGAGAAATTTCTGATCTGGAGATCGTGCAGAGATCCTTTACTGCTAGAATCCACTCAATATAACATCTAAACTATTGGGGTTGACTAAAGGGCCTAAATGTCTATTCTCTTGAGACTTGAGGTTCCCTAAGGCTTTGGGTTCAAAAAGGCCAATTTACCCCCCCCACCCCCCACCCCCGAATTACATTATATTATTGCTGCTCGTTAAATATACTTTACCTAATCTTACCTAACCTATTACTTAACCTAATGAAAATATAATTTATATACTGTATATATTTTTTTATAGTGTGTAGGAGGTGTGAGTTGCCACTCTTGACATATTAAGGTCACATCTGGGGGAAGTTATGGATACTTTTGTTCATGCTAATCATGCTTGTCTAAATAAATTTTGTTGGGTTAGAATAGCCTGCAATGGCTAAGGTTAGGCATACCTTGGTTACCTTGAGGTGTTTTTGGGGCTTAGTGTCCCCTTGGCCCGGTCGTCGTTGCTGGATTGGTCAACTAGGACGTGTTTGCTTGCAGCCTGTTGTATGAGTCACAGCCCGGTTGATCAGGTATCCTTTAGAGGTGCTTATCAAGTTCTCTCTTGAATACTGTGAGGGGTCGGCCAGTTATGCCCCTTATGTGTAGTGGAAGCATGTTGAACAGTCTCGTGCCTCTGGTGTTGATAGAGTTCTCTCTTAGAGTCCCTATTGCACCTTTTCTTTTCAACGGGGGTATTCTGCACATCCTGCCATGCCTTCTGGTCTCGTGTGGTGTTATTTGTGTGTTCAGGTTTGGGACCAGCCCCTCTACTATTTTCCATGTGTAAATTATTATGTATCTCTCCTGCCTGCGCTCCAGAGAATACAGATTTTGGCACTAGTCGGTCTCAATAGTTTAGATGTTTTATTGAGCGGATTCTAGCAGTAAAGGATCTCTGCATGCTCTCCAGGTCAGAAATTTCTCCAGCTTTGAAAGGAGCGGTCATTGTGCAACAGTATTCCACTCTAGAGAGCACTAGCATCTTGAAAAGTATCATTATCAGTATAGCATCTCTAGTGTGAAAGGTTCTTGTTATCCAACCTGTCATTTTTCTTGCAGATGTGACGGCTACTTTATTGTGTTCTTTAAATGTAGGGTCTTCCAACATGAGTACACCCAAATCTTTTACAGTGCCTTTTTCTGGCAATATTTCTATATTTGGCTATATTTCTGGCTATATTTGGCATGGCTATATTTCTATTAGGTTAGCCTATGTTAAGTTTAGATTTGTTAGTAAGTTAGGAGCTGAGTTTGCTTCAAGCACTTGAGCAGACAGTGGTTCTACAGGTCTAGTCCCCATGGGTAAGAAGTGTTTCATGGGTGTCCTACATGATTTGGCAGTAATTACAGTTTGAGGCGCTTGTAGCACAGTGGTCGGCACAGCGGTCTTGCCCGAAACGCTATGCGTGTTAGTGGCTCTGCAAGAAGGTAAAAATACCAATCTTGTGTAATCTCACAAACCCATTGTACCTTCTTGTAAATAAAAATTATAATAATCATAAACACACACAAATCACATTAACGTGATATATATCAATGAGAAAACCCACCAGGGCTGCGACGTGGATGCAAACCTACTACCACGGCATTGCCAAGTCGCATACTCTACCACTAGACTACAAGTCATGATGGTCTAGTGGTAGAGTACACGGCTTGGCAATGCCATGGTTGTAAGTTTGCTCCCACCTATAGCCCTATAGCCCTAGTGGATTTTATTATTATTATTATTATTATTATTATTATTATTATTATAGTTCACAGCTGAAAGGTCCTGGGTTTGATTCATATGGCAGGATGGAGACATGAGACATGAGACATTACTGTATATGATTCCTCATATATTTAAAAATTAGAGAATGCTGAATGTGTTTTTGGCCTGGTCTGACATATACTGTACATGCTTTCAAATGTAAGAGAAGTTTATCTATAAAATATATCTACAATCCTGTATGTAAATGTAATATGTATTAATTGCCAAAATCTGTGGGTAGACATCATTATGGAATGTATAAAATGTATGGCTGCCATGATACCAGTGGTGGACTGCTTTGGTACCAGTGGTCGGCCGCCTCAGTACTGGTTGTCGAGCCTCTGTACCCAACTCGTCCTCTTAACTAATAGGTCACATTTTTTATACTGTGGTAACCAACTTTACTAATACAACCTACTATGAAAAGTAATGGTTCACAAGTATCTTTACTGTATTTTCTGTGCAATGGCAATTGTGCAATTTACTGTATTTTTCTGTGCAATTCTGTGCAATGTTAGGTGGGTTGCTTGGGTTGACATGTACTGTACTTGCTTCCATCTCATGTTTGCATGAAGCTAACATGAGATGGAATAATTAAGAAATTAACTCGAGCCCAACCACTTAGACTGGACGGCGTTCAATTCCTGACCGTCCAAGTATTTGGGTATATTCCTTCCCCTCCCCCCCTTCCCCCTTCCCATCCCAAATCCTTATCCTAATCCATTCCAAGTGCTAAACTGTATAGTCGTAATGGCTTAGCGCAACCCATTCATAATTCCCTTCTCATTCAAGACTTTATTAGCAATCAAGCACAGTGTTTGGCTTCAGTGCAGACATGATACAACCATGTTTTAGCGAGTCGAGTGTGTTTAAGGATTATTCACAATTTAGGAATATATTTTGTAAGTATAGCATATGTGTGAGTCTAAGTTTATAGGTGTAAGCACATTTGAGAGGAAAGGTTGATCAGGTTGTATACTAATTTTCCATAATGTTGAGTATTGGTGTCTTGATCTCCTTAACACTTGGTAGTACTGTACAATATTGTTGAATTCAGGTATGCAATAGGCCCCATTAACAGTTGTTCAATTTTGAAACCCGCTTTTTTCTATTTTAGTTAAACTTGAATATGATGTTTTTGTGTGTGCACGCACTCAATTTTCAAACTTATAACTGTTCTGTTTATGTCCTGTTGTATCTTAACAGCCTGTAACAGTAAATACTCAAATACTGAGTGTTCAAATACTGCACATGTTCTTTTCTTTACATTATCAGTAAATGGGCTTTGCAAATTAATTTTGCAGAAATTGCGTTTCTGCCCGAAACGCTTTGTGTAATAGTGGCTTTAGGCATTGTATATACTAGCTTTATCTATAAATCCATCAACTTTTGTATTTCACCTTGTATATATGTACTTTACCTGAATAAATATTTGTATTTGTTTTTGTATTATTTCAGTTTGTGAAAGTCGGGTATGCGGGTAGCAATTTCCCAGCTCACATCTTTCCATCAATGGTGGGCCGACCCATCATTAGAGCCACAAATAAGATTGGTGACATTGAAGTCAAGGTAAGACAAAAATATCTAAGCTATTCCTTGCTGCTGATAGTTTTAACACAGGACTAGCAATAATCATCAACATTACAGTGAAGTGAAGTGTCGTTAGATAATATCTTTAACTAAGGTCTCTGGGAACGTCTAAAATACTATTTATAGCTATACTGTATGTACTTTATAATGTATTTCAGTATATTTTATTAAAATTGATTATCACATTAGCCTTTTAGCCTTTTGCTGAAGTAAAGGCAAGACTAACTGTTGTCAATACTGTACTTGAATTTGTTTAATTACATTTTAATTATGCATTGAAGTACAGTAACATTTTGATAACCCTAGAATTTGAGAAATAAATTGTACACGTTCTACATTGTCAAATCACACATGATGAACTGGAATTTAAAATGTTGTATTTTCAAATCAGTGTTAACTTTAAGTGGCGGATTGTTCTTGATAATTGATTACATCAACTCCACCTTTGACCTTGTAATGCTAATAGAAGCATCACTCCAGTGGCACAATACCTTTCAGCACATGTAGATCAAATATTGTGTCGCTCACAGTGGTCTTCCCCTTCAGAAGGAAATGCCAAGAACCTTCATCTACACAGAGTAAGGTTTAGGAGGAATACTGGTTGCCCCAGAGCTTTAGTGGGGTTCATTATGGGTTAGCACGAATATTTCATCACTACCGTTTGCACGAACGATAACTACACTATAGTGTTGTTGATCACTGTCCTGTAGTTTTAATTATTATGGGTTTAATTACTAAATGTTATTTTAGTATTGATGTTACAACTTATATAGACAGTTTATCTATAACAACAGATTAACCACTTTTGAAATGATTTTATTATTTAATGTAAAGAAAGTCAACAGTATGCCGATAATTTATTGAATTTGTTTAGACATTGCTTCAATGTTTTTGTTTCAGTAAATGTATAAATAATGCTAACAATAATTGTGAAAGGTTTTGTACCAGGCAAATGCTGTATTAGAGGTGTTTTGAGTGCTGGATTATAAATTGTTTTGCTCTTTAAAACTACAGTATTAACATTTGTAATATTTATTCATTAAGGTAGCGTTAACACACCTCACTCGAGTGGGTTGTTACTGGCCATTTTTATTTTATTTAACATTTCTTTTGTATGTCTTTATTCTTGAATTATAAGAATTTGTTTTTCATATTTATTGCAGGAATTTATAGGTGTAAGCACATTTGAGAGCAAAGGTTGATCAGGTTGTATACTAATTTTCCGTGATGTTGAGTATTGATATGTCTTGATCTCCTAAACATTTGGTAGTACAGTATTGTTGAATTCAGGTATGCAATAGGCCCCATTAACAGTTGTTCAATTTTGAAACCCATATTTGTTTTCCATACTAGTTAAACTTAAATATTTTGTTTTTGTTTGTTTGTGTGTGTGTTCTCAATTTTCAAACTTATAACTGTTCTGTTTATTTCTTGTTGTATCTTAACAGCCTGCAACAGTAAATGCTCAGATGCTGAGTGTTCAAATACTGCACATGTTCAAATTTGTTTAACATTTGTGCAAATCGCACAAAAATAAATGGGATGAAGAATGTGATGATGAATAACCTCGGAGGAAATAGGATCTCGAGTATACTTCAGCACTGTCGTTTTCTGTTTACACTCATTCTTGCAGTACAGTACCTGTTTGGATCAGGACCATTCAGCTAAATTTTTCAGATATCGCATGTCAGTGTTTGGAAAAAGAAAATGATGTAAATACATATTCGTATTTGCCCAAATGCAATATTTGTTGTTGTTGTCTTCAGAAGTTAGTGGAGCCGAAGGAAATGTTACTGACGAGTCATTAATGAGATAAAAGTACAATATGAGCTACTGAAGTGTTAGGTTTATTTGATGACTGTCAGCTGCCTCAACGTGAGGTCACTTAGCAACCCCTCACCCAGCAGTGTTTGCCCTGCTTGTAGCCAGCATAGGTCAGTTTCTTCACTCGGAACCACATTGGTTCTGGATTCAATGTAGATAATATTTCTCTGTTCACAATTCCTAAAAATAGTCTTCTGCTGATTACAGCATGCTGTGTTGTCAGACTGTCTCTAACCAGCTGCCTTGATAGGTCTGATAACATGCTTTGTACTGTTAGAAATCCATCCTAGCACTTGCTTCTTTAATTCGTCTCGCTGTTACCTACTCCGTACTCAGACTGTCAAGAGTCTTAACCTTAGCCTTACTTGATACTTTTTTCCTGAGGAGGAGGAAAGCTGATTTTTAGCTTTGTTATAAAACTTCAAGATCTTTTCTTTATTCTTCCTAATGCAGTATCATTCAAAGCGATCCTTGTTATGTGGAACTTGGCACAGACCAACACCTGGCACAGACCAACACCTGGCACAGACCAACACCTGAGAACATTACTCTCACACTTCTGAATAACTGTGGCTCATGTTTCTTTGCTATTAGTATCACAACATGTTTCCAATTGGGTATACTATCAGTAGTTGAAGCCTTCACCAACACATTCCCAGTTTTGAGTAACCATAGTATAAAGATGTTGGTGAAATTGGGCAATACATTATATCAGTCTTGGCTGGGAGTCAGTGGTGGAAAGTGTGCCCAAAAAATAATTGTATACTATACTAGGCTACGTCTCTTCCAGACATAATGCCACCTCACTTGTGCAAACCTGAAACCTCTACCTATGAGCTATAGGTCTCTCTCTCTCTCTCTCTCATCTGTTAGTATATTTATCCACAAAATTGTAAATATACTGTATGTGAAAGCACTAAGCATACTAGTTTTTATTTCCTTTGTGGTTATTTGTTTTAACTTTTTTTTTATATATTTGTTGCGATTGAAACAGATTTACACCTATACATATGCTCATTTGATTTAAGAAATAAAATACACTATAATATAGAAGAAAATGGGGAAAGTTACACAAAGAAATTCATCTTCAAGAGAGTACACTATGGGAGTTTTAGGGAGCTCTTTATTGAATTAGATTAGACCAGTTTGCTGTTAGGCAAGGAAATAATTTAAATGTATGCTAAATTTTGTGAGATATATGATGAAGGCACCCAAACAGACACACAAATCTAGAAAACAGGACTGATTCAGTAGAAACTGCACGAGAGCCAGAGCAAGAAAGAGAAATAGAATCAATATAAGACAAGGCAGAATCTACAAACATACACTTACCAGCATTGCATAGAAGCATTATATAACTCCATGACAGTGAGAAGGTGGACAGAAAGAATCTTTTGAGAAAGGGATACAGTTATGACGCAGTCTCTGATCAGGTATCCTGGTTATTGGTCTGGTCAACCAGGCTGTTAGATGCAGCTGCTCAATGCCTAATGTATGAATCATGGCCTGTTTGATCAGGTAACTTTTGGAGGTGTTCATCAAGTTCTCTTTTGAACATCGTGAGAGGTCAACTAGTTATGCCCCTTATGTTCAGAGGAAGTGTTGAATAGTCTTGAACCTCTTGATGTTGATAGAATTCTCCCTCAGCATACCTATTCTACCTCCGGCTTTCATTGAGGCTATTTTACACTTTGTGCTATGCCTCCTTATCTCATGTAGACAAAGGTAAAACAAAACCTTGTTCTTTTCTGTAAATTTATATAAAAAAAATGCAAGTGAAGGATAATATAAAAAGACTTAAAATGGGAGACAAGACTCAAAGAGATTGAAAAGGAAATATGTGACACATTAAAGGAACAGTTCAAAATTCTGTTTGTGCAAAAAGACTTTTTCAGAGACCCAGACACAATAAGGACTTTAGAACACAACATAAAGTACTCTCCTTAAGAGTCTAGAGACAAGATAGAAAAACTGCTTAAGAAAGTAGTCGGGTCAGATGGAGTCTTTTCTTGGGTTCTAAGGAAATGCACATCATAGACTAGTGCCTTACCACACATTATTTTCAAAACGTCCTTACAAGCAGGGACTCCTTGCAGACATAGAAAAAGACAAACGTTCTATAAAAATGGTAATGAAGAATATCCTCTAAATTATAGTCCTATATCATTAACAAGAGTGGCAGTAAAAATCACTCGAAAATAATTACAGTGTACAATCAAATGTGTAGAATACCTGGAAAGAAACTACATAATATTCAGTATAGCACGACAAATATTCTTGACTCTTATGATATCTTGCAAGAAAGAAATGGGCTGACTGCATTTACCTGGGCCTACCTGCTTGATACCTGCTTGATGGGGGGTTCTGGGAGTTCTTCTACTCCCCAAGCCCGGCCTGAGGCCTGGCTCGACTTGTGAGAGGCAAGATTTACACCTACTAACAAAACAAAACAAGAAACTTAACAAGAGTTCCTCACAAGAGACTGCTCTGGATGCTAGACTACCGAGTTTCCTGTTGTCTACCTGTTGTTGGTCCCGGGGATCAGTAGTCTCCACTTCCTGGTTAGTGGTCTGGTGAATTGAGCTGTTGAATACAGCTGTTCGTAGTCTGATGTACGACTCACAGCTCGTTATGCTGAGGTACCCTTTCAGGTATTGAGCAGGTATCCTTTTAGGAATTGAGCAGGTATCCTTTTAGGTATTGAGCAGGTATCCTTTTAGGTATTGAGCAGGTATGTTTTCAGGTATCCTTTGGAGGTGTTTATTAATTTCTCTTTTGAACACTGTGAGGTTGGCTAGTTATGCTCCTTATGTGTAGAGTGAGAGTTGTTGGATCAAAAGCTTTTTAACAGAAGAATGAGAGCAGTGATTATAAACAATATATCAGACTTGAGAACTGTCACTAGTAGAATACTACAAGGTTCAGTCCTTGCACCAGTAATACTCATTGTCTATATAAACAATATACCAGGGGGATTGAGAGTGACATGAATATGTTTGCAGATGACTGCCAGACCCTTCAAAAATGACCAAAACAAGATAAGTAAATGGAGCAACATACGATAGATGAAACTCGATGCAAGTACTGTAAATGCTACGTAATGTAGCATGGACTAGGGAAAAGCAGGCTACATTTAAACCACAAATTATGCAAAAAGATATTAAAGAAGTGAGAGTGAAAGAGATCTACGGGGGATTTTATAGCTGTTACTGAAGGACCACTCGTAGTCATAATGACTTGGCGCTTTCCCTTCATATTCCCCCCCTCCCTCATTGCTGAAGGACCTGAAGAGAAGGCTCTTCTCATTGTGAGAGGAGCCTGTGCTGTGCTTGCAAACATCATGTTAGCTTTTAAATGCATGAATGGGGAAATATTAAATAAAATATTCACAACCAGAGACCGGGCTGCGAGGATGTTGATCTTTGAAATCATCAACAGGTAGGTTCATGAGACTGAAATTGGAGTATGAAGTAGTTGTATGGTGTCTGTACTGTATTTGAAAAGGTGCATAAATAAAATAGAAAAGGTACAAAGAAATGCTGCCAAATGTTTCCAGACCTCCAAAATCAAGAGCTATGAGGAAAGATTTCAGGCATTAAACTTACAGCAGCTGGTAAATATGAGAAAGATGGGAGAGATGATCACCACATACAAATTCACAATGGGATTCAACAAAGTGGAAAGAAGGAATTTTTAAAATCTTCAGGGACTAGAACAAGGATCTCAGATTCACCCATAGAAAGCAAAAATGCAGAAAAGATGTCCAAAAGTTCTCTTTTTTTAAATAGAGTTGTGGACGATTGGCACAATTTTAAGTGAGAAAGTGGTGGATACCAAAACCATCAGTCTCCGTGGTGTAGTGGTAAGACACTCGCCTGGCGTTCCGCGAGCGCTATGTCATGGGTTCGTATCCTGGCCGGGGAGGATTTACTGGGCGTAATTCCTTAACTGTAGCCTCTGTTTAACGCAACAGTAAAATGTGTACTTGGATGAAAAAACGATTCTTCGCGGCAGGGGATCGTATTCCAGGGACCATAGGATTAAGGACTTGCCCGAAACGCTACGTGTACTAGTGGCTGTACAAGAATGTAACAACTCTTGTATATATCTCAAAAAAAAAAAAAAAAAAAAAAAAAAAATCAGCAGTGTCTGTTGTATGACAAAAATTAAAGGGAAGGCAGGAGACCTTAAGCATAGCTCTCATCCTGTAATTACACTTAGGTAGTTACAATTACATATACTGTACATTAATAAACAAGTACATGTGCATACATGTATTGTACTGCAATTAATATGAGGCAATTGCCATTTGCCACAGGTAAGGCATTTAATGTGAGTTACCATTGACCAAGAATATATTGGATGTGATAAGTTACCATGCATTTGCCAATGCTCAAGTGATCCCTTATTTCTGGAGGGGCCAGACAGTGGTTCCCTGTTGCTAACTGCACTGAGATAGCTGTACACGTATAAGTTGCTTCAACCCTTGCGAGTCCTTTAATAGCCTACCAGAGGCCAAAACCTGGCACAGAGGTACTGGGAGCAAGGACCCCCGTACCAAAGAAACAAACCGCCAGAAAGGAAGCAAAGCAAAATAGACAACTGCAAGGTTCACTGAAAATAAACAAACTACAGCAAATAACTCTGCAAATGATCCACCCCAGTAGTTGTCATATATAACTGTATACATGACTAGGGATACTAGTAGTTTGTCATATATAAATAACTGTATACATCTTGAGGTCATCTTGAGATGATTTCGGGGCTTTAGTGTCCCCGCAGCCCGGTCCTTGACCAGGCCTCCACCCCCAGGAAGCAGCCCGTGACAGCTGACAAACACCCAGGTACCTATTTTACTGCTAGGTAACAGGGGCATAGGGTGAAAGAAACTCTGCCCATTGTTTCTCGCTGGCGCCTGGGATCGAACCCAGGACCACAGGACACAAGTCCAGCGTGCTGTCCACTCGGCCGACCGGCTCCGGGCTCCTACATGACTAGGGATACTAGTAGTTTGTCATATATAATTGTATACATGACTAAGGAGGCTAGGGATCCAAGTAACAGCTGGTCACCACTGTGGCTGTACCATGGGAGCTGCCGGCTTCCCCTTGTCAGCACTCAGTCCTTTGGTTGGCTTTCTTAAATGTCAGACTGAGCATTGTTGACATGGATAGCTGGCAGCTTCCATGGTGCTGCCACCTGGTGGTGATAACCGGTTGTTGCTGCATTGTTTGCGAACCATATAGTTATGTTTTGCTTCACTTCCTTCCTTGGGGGGTTTGTTTCTTGGGCGAAGATGATCAAGAATCTCTTACTCCCTGCACCTATGTTAGGGTGCCAGGTTTTGGACTCTGGTCTTTAGTAGGCTACTAAAGGACTCGCAATGGCTGGTGTGACGTGTGGAGCTATCTCAGAGTAGCTACCAACAGGGAGAGACACAGCCCTTCCATCCCCCCTCCCCCCCACCCTTTCCCAGAAAGAGGCGTTTCAGTACGTTCAACACTGATATTTTGGGGGGTTTGTAATTGTTCACATAATTACTTGCTTTTTCTTATTACCTAACCTAATGTTGCAAGTAAAATTCTCTTCTTGGAGATGTTGAATACTCAATGTAAGTACAGTAATGTATTTACTGACTTTTTGTAAAAAGATAACTTTGTCAGGAATCAAGTAGACTCTAATTGTTTTATAAAAACACTCAAAAAGCCAATCCTATTACACCTGTGACACTGCTTTAGCATGTCTTGGAATAAATGGATACTGTATTAATTAGTTTTCTTGCCAGAACAGACTGTCCCATTCAAGGCATTTTGCAAAGAACAATTGTTTAGTGCAGTTCATTAGTTTGTTTTGCATCTGATAGTTTATTACTTAAAAGAGAGAGATATATATATGGTAATCTCCATTTTCCATGTGTTTTTGTTTTGTGCGTGATGACCTCTTAAGTTGTGTTGCTTTTTACTAAATTCTTGAACACTGTAGTGCACATCAATTTATACTGTGCAAAAATAATACAAATAACCTTCAGGAATATTTCCAAATTTTGTTCCATTGTGTGTCTTAAATTAGTCCTTGCGATAAGATGTCAGAATCTCGGTTTGTACTGATCATCAATTTAACTGTTTTGTGCATTGCTGCTTGCATTGGAAGGAGTGGGCTCATTTTCCTGTAAGTAGTGATGAGGTGTCCCAGAGGACATGACATTTCCTTAAAGTTGCATGGGTGTGTGTGTCTAGTGTGAATGTGTGTGAATGTGTGTGTGTGTGTGTGTGTGTATGAAGCGCATACCTCAGTTACACAAAATAGAGTGTAGTATAATGTGGTAAAGGCTTTGATTTGCCATTGTTATGTTCCGTACCTGTGTGTGTGTGTGTGTGTGTGTGTGTGTGTGTGTGTGTGTGTGTGTGCCCGCGTGTGTTTCTGTGCACTCCTGTTTTCATTATTGTTCATAATGAGGCAAAGTATGGCATGTTTGATGTTCATCTCTTTACTTACATAAATATGTAGCAACGTTCATGTAATAAACTGTGCAGAGTTTTATTTTGCATGGTGATTATTATTATTATTCAAGTTTGTGTAGATAATCAATTTTCATTTATCTTTTTCCTGATTGTTTTGTATAATAAATTGTTATATATTACATTTAAGTAGGCACATGATAGAGTTAAGCCACTCACCCTTTTGTAGTATGTTAACGAAATACACTAAACATTATACAGTATTTGTTTTGGCAATATAATACAGTGGCACCTCGACTTACGATAATTTTGAGTTACGATGTAAATTTGATTGAAAAATGCGACTCAACTTACGATAGTGTCGTCGACTAACGATATTTGTTGGTATACGTTTGGGTCGACCGAGCGTGTGGTTTCCGGTCATGCGGGCCGACCTGCCTCAGTTTACTAGAGGCAGGTCGCTTAAAATTTAAAAATTTAAAATTAAAATTTAAATTTACTAGCGCTTGGTGATGATCACGCCTATAAGAAATTCCGTTTTTGTGGTGATTTTTTGCTTTTTGAACATAAAACTGATTATTATATATCACGCCATGGGTCCCAAGAAAGTCAGTGGTAAGGTTCAACCTAAGAAAGTAGTTGTGAGTAGAGGCAGTAGAGGATGTCCTTCCCTCATTAAGAAAATGTGTGAAGTATGGGAAGAACTGCAAAGTTTTGTTGAAAAAATTCATTCAGATAAAGCTGTAGCAGGCCATTGCATTGACCTTCAAATGACAATGTGATGTCTTACTACAGACAAGTGTTAAAATGTAGGGAAAAACAAGTGTCTTTAGACAGATTCTTAGCAAGACAAACAAGCAGTGAGCCACAAGCAGGTCCTTAGTGGTATGCAGGCAAAACATGCCAGAGAGTGTATCCCAGAAAAGTCATCACTGCCTGAAGTTATAATGGAAGGGGACTCCCCTTCCAAACAGTAACATCTCTCCTCCTCCCACCTCATCACCATTTTCCATACACCATCAAGAGTCCTCCATAAAGGTAAGATAAACATATGTGCTGTATTGTAGTTAGAGAAAATTTTTTATTCAGTATAAAATGTATTTGTAAGTTAATATTTTGGAGGGTGGGGAACAGATTAATTTAATTTTCCTTTATTACTTATGGGAAAAATCGCTTTGACTTCTGATACGTCTCTGGGAACGGATTACCATCGTAAATCGAGGCCCCACTGCATTACAGTATTATAAATGGGTTTATAATGGTTTTAAATAGTGGTGGATATAAAATTGTAGTTTGATATAAAGTAGATGAATTACAAGATGATCAGTAGTAGGTAGGTGTAATTTGTAGTTTGATAGGTAGATGTGAGAGAGAGTTAGAAATAGTAGATGGGTCTCATAGTAAAGTTGACTTCTTTCTTCACACAATTGGACATCCTGGGTTTGATGGCCAGGCGGGACAGGAATGGTTAGGCATATTTCCTTTCACTTAAAATACTAAATAAAAAAAAGTATGTATATCTATATAAATATTAAACAAAAATCCATCTTGCTATATTAATAAAATATGAGTAGAGGATAGGCTCTAGCTGAACATGGCTAATTAAAGCAAGCATCTATACTATATCGGTATCAGTAAATGCTGAGATGCAATAATTAATGCTCTCGCCCACTTGCCTAGCAAACAAGGATAACACGAGTTTGAACACCGGGCAGGATGGGACGATTGAGCGATAATTTGGAACCTGTATATATAAATCATTTGGAGGATCATGATCTAGGGAAAACATGACACTGAACAACATAATTAGTTCCATTATCTGACCTAAGGGCCAGATCTTGACATAACTACCTTACTACTACTACTGTATAGCATATTTATACACTTCCACTTCAGAGATTGTCTGTATTTTAAATCATTTTTGTACGTGATTAATTTTGAGGTAAACGCCCACAAACACAAATTCTGTACTGTAGTACACTTTAAGTACTTTAAGTACTGTACTGTATTTTAAGTATTATAATTGTGCATGTAACAAAAACTCTTCTAATTCTAGTATATAAGTAGTAGGCTGAACAGTAGCAGGAATTCTGAATAATTTCACCCTCAGGATCTCATGGTGGGAGATGAAGCCAGCAAATTACGATCGATGTTAGAGGTGACTTACCCTATGGAAAATGGCATTGTTAAAAATTGGGATGACATGTGCCACGTGTGGGACTACACATTTGGGCCCGAGAAGATGGACCTCAATCCCCGAGAATGTAAGATTATGTTAACGGAGCCACCAATGAACCCAACGAAAAACAGAGAGAGAATGTTAGAGGTGAGGTGCATTGCTGATTTTAACCCGGTATAGGAGCAGTTTTATATATCACGGTTGATGTTTCAGTATGTTGCAATTTCTTTAAAGACCATATTTTCTGTACTGTAGCAATATCAGGATTTAATTGGTGATGGACGTAATGAATTAGGGAAGTTACCAGTGTGGTGGTTTACTTTCCATTGGCATTTCTTGAGCCAATAGAGTCCATTTGGAAGAGAAGAAACTTAAATTTAGTAACAGAATCATTGGCTTAATATAATAGTTAGCCATTGTATGAATGTCTTATTTATTTCCTATTTCATTTGTTTATCCATAGAAATTACGTCTTCAAAGTAATTTTCAGGGTCATGTAATTCAATAAATTTATATTCTTGATAGGTTAATTTAGATGTTTTTATTTACAGTACAGTACACTATTTTCACCTTTATAAACTTGGGCGTGTTTCCATAGGCGTTATTCCTGTGTTCAGTAAGTAGGTACTATTGAGTTAAGTGGAGGTTGTGTCCTGGTGAAGTTATCTTTGGCCTAAGGGGACCTTGATGATTCTTGATAATCATCTTGGCAGTGGGAATCTGCTAGTTATGTGTGATGAAGTCAATACAGTTACAATACACAACATATACAGTATATGTGTGAGAAATATAAACACGGTGTGCCGTTGCTGCAACTAATATGTAATGCTTAAATTTCAGATGATGTTTGAAAAGTATGGGTTTGCTGGGGCATTTGTTGCTATTCAGGCTGTGCTGACACTGTATGCCCAAGGCTTGCAATCTGGTGTTGTGGTAGACTCTGGCGATGGTGTGACACACATCTGCCCTGTATACGAGGGTTTTACCCTACCTCAGATCAGGTAAGACTTGAAGGAAAATAGTACTGTAAATACAGCTAGGGACAAGAATGTTATTGTAGTGAATAAATATGATTAAGAAATGTAGTGACTTTGTAATACATGATTTACAGAGTTTCCACACAACAGAAAATGACAACAGAGTCTGTAAGGACAAAGGAAGCAGGGTGATACCCCCAAGTAGATCACACATTATATGTAAGAGAATAATTGGCCCCTTGAGTCAGACTCTTCCCAGAAAATACATCATATAAGTATAGTTTAACCTGCCCAACAGCCTCTTGAGGTTCCCAGGAGATAGGTGATAGTTGTTGACTTCTTGGACCTCCCTTCTCCATTGAGGAGCTAGGTGAGCAGGTCACCTGGTGGTACACAGGTGTAATTAATAAGTGAACGGCTTCACAACAGGTTACTTTGTTCGGTTCGGGGTCTCATTTTCTATGCTTTTTTACCTTGCTGATCTATTTATTGTTTTGTTCACCCACCTCTCTAGGTAGCATTTGCTTGCTTAGAGTGATCTAGAATCCTTTTCTCATGGATCTTCTATAGAGGGGGCAAAGTTTGGCCTTTGGTCCCTGGTAAGCTTACAGTGTCTTGCAAGGGCCTGGCATGGATTGAATTAGGTGGACTTACCCAGATACCACCAAAGATCCCCAGAAAGAAACGTTTCGTTACATTCAACACTGGTTTTTTCAGTCACTTATTTTTACCATATTAAAATACTCACTGGCTTTGCCTTCAATGTGGCAAAGTCATCGAGTATTTTGGCTGTTGTTAGCCATTACATTTCTAAATGTGTTTTGATTAAAGTTTGTGATGTGATATACTTTCCTCTGGTAGGTAACCATTTATGTCTACCTTGTTTTTAGTTTCTTTCTTGATTGTCCATGGACCAGCAGCAATTGACTCGAGAAGTACTGTACAGTACCATAATTAAAACAAAAAGCTGGAAATTTATTGTAATTCTAATGTAACTTTTTTTCCCCACCTTTAAAAGCCAATTGATACTGAATTGAATTATCCACTTGTTATTGTCTATATCCAGGAGATTAGATATAGCTGGACGTGACATTACAGTCTACATGATCAAGTTGCTACTGCTACGAGGCTACGCCTTTAACCATTCAGCAGACTTTGAAACTGTCCGCATGATGAAGGAAAAGTTGTGTTATGTTGGCTACAACATTGAACAAGAGCAGAAGCTTTCAACGGAGACAACTGTTCTCGTAGAGAATTATCAGCTTCCCGATGGCCGCATCATTAAGGTAATATTTTAAGATAAGTTATAGTAAATTGTGTAACCTTATTAAGAGGAGTTGTTCTACTCCCCAAGTACAAGAGCCTCGCCGCAAGTCAAACCCCGGGGCCAGGCTGGACTTGTGAGTGAGATCTTGGTCCAATAGACTGTTGCTTGGAGCATCCAGCAGGCCTTTAAGTACCAGAACTTTTAATTGGAATTGGATTTTGGAATTTAGGTCATAGACTAACTAGATTATGTCACTATGTGCCATTAATGTTCTCCAGTTATTCTGTGTCATTCTTCACATATTTAATGTTTTCTTATAGTTGGGACATTTTAGATTTGGAATGTTAATTTTTCATAGCTTTTAAGTGTATTTTTTAGGTGGGGTTGAAGAGGGCATTTTTGGTTATAACTATATAAACTTGTGTATAATGAAATACAATACGTATAGTGGTTTACAGGACTGGAGATTTATTTATTTTGTTTATACTGTATTTTCATAAAATTCATTTCAGGTTGGTGGAGAAAGATTTGAGGCACCTGAGGCACTGTTCCAACCACATTTAATCAATGTTGAAGGTCAGGGCATTGCTGAACTTTTGTTTGACACCATCCAGCGCTGTGACATTGACATTCGACCGGAGTTGTATAAACACATTGTTTTGTCCGGTGGCTCAACTATGTATCCGGGATTGCCATCACGTCTTGAGAGGGAACTGAAACAGCTTCACCTTGAGAGAGTGCTGAAGGTATATGACAGATTTCAAATAACTCTTGAATGTTGTTGATAATTGGATTTAAGCTTATAAATGCAAAACAATTTAAGAAATAGTCATAAAAGTATATCCAAGCTGCTTAAAATTATGCCGTTAGATAAGAAAAGTAATATACTGTATATGTATTAAATTAAACAAAAATGACCACATGCTTTTATGCAATTTATGAATTTGACTATTCTAGGGTGATGTGGAAAGATTATCTAAACTAAAAATCCGAATTGAAGATCCTCCACGCCGAAAGGACATGGTATTTATTGGTGGAGCTGTTCTGGCTGACGTGATGAAAGACAGAGACAACTTCTGGATCTCACGAGAAGAGTACCAAGAGAAGGGTGTTCAAGCGGCACTAGAGAAGCTCATGCCTGGTGGTAAATCATAAGGGAAGCCATAATAGGAAGTAGTTTGATATGTGTTATTCCAAACTGTGGTTCTGCCCAGACTGCTCTCTGCCCAATTGTTACTTGGCTGTTTTTTTGCCGAGTTGATTTCAAAATGTGCGTCATGATGTTAAAGGTCACATCATGTGATTCTGATAATTTATTCCAGTGGATAAGAGGAAACTGGCAGTATTGGCAGTTTGCCTTGTGAAAAGAAAATGTTTTTAGGAATATAAACAGTTCTTTAAAGTTGAATTTGAAAATTAAAATATTGTAGAAACCAATGACCAATGCAGGTTTAATTAAGATTAATGTATACTTAATATTTCAGATGGATGTTTAATTTATGGAATGTTTTGAAGGGTAGATCAGATAACAGGATGCAGTTAGATCGTACCCATTTGCCAACCGTCATTCCTGGCAGAGGTATTCCCCATTCTTTTATTTACATGAAGTAATTTGAGTTCCATTTCGGCGGCACAGTCTTTATCGTGTTGTCGCTGTCCTAAACAATGTGAATGTTTGTTGTTATTGCCTTAAAGATGGCTTTTTGAAGGCCTTTGGTTAAGTTATTGTTTGAAACTAGTTCCGAGATGACCTGTCAATTTTGTTAATTGTAATTTAGAGATACGCATATTACCTAGTAATTACTTCAAAATGATTATCATTAATTTTCAGAATATTCTAATCTTTGCATAGGTATTTAATATTTATCTTAGGGATAGATTGTGATGTTGCTTTTACTTACTAAGATTACATATGAAGCTGTTGGGTGTAAATATTTAATGATTTATTCATTTTAATATTGTCATGTGATGGGTCTCTATGAGCGACATACACATTACTGAATTAGTGTGCAGTACAATACTTCCTCCAGAATGTTTGGAGCCCTCAACAAAGTCGCAACACTTAAGCCTTCGAGCCAAAACTGTCAGTCCTAACTAACACAAAGTATTTAGTTCAACAAATTTAATGTTTTCAGATCTAAATTTTAAGGAATTATTAGTTTTGTTAATATTATTAGCAGGTTTCTGCATATGCTGTAGTTAATTACAATATTTGCAAAAGTTAATAAAATGGCAGTTATCCAGCGAGGTAAACAGCCACCAGCTTTATATGTATGGTAGTTGATTATGTCCTTGGTTATCTCCTTTGTTTAAGTGTTAACAATTGCCTAAACAAATCTAAAATTATGCATCACATATTGGAGTTTTCAGGATGTACCATCATAGTTCTTCCTTATTCAGATCTAAAGTATATTAGCAATATATAAAGATATACAGTATACTGGGGATATGTAGAGACAACCAATAGGTGTTGCATTCCATTTTTACTATGAGGTCTGTAGATAATGTTCACACAATCACCTTTCATCCGTTAAGACAGGTCTTTCCATTTTCATTAAGAAGGTTTTGAGACATAAATTAATCTTGAACATTGTTAAATATATAATTAATAAATTAAAACTGCAGGTTTAAGTTGACCTGTAAAAAAATGTTGCAAATGTTTTGAAAGAGTGCAATCCTTGTGCTCTACGATCAACCTTATCCATTATGGTTTTTACGTTACCAGATACGAAGCCATAATACTTTGTCACATTAAGTACTAATTGGCTCCACCCACTTCTCTGAATTGAACTCCTCCAGTATGTATATATTATGAATTTTTCTCCCGTGTAAACATTCCGAGTTATATCTAAGAACGTTTGAAGTGTTGGAAACTTATGTGTACTTTACTGTGTTTACAGCAAAGTACAGTATTGCACCTTCCCTACCGTAGTTATCCTTAGTGTCAAATTGTTTTGTTCAAGAGCATGTACCCTCCCCACACCTGTGCAGTACTTGCTAGAAGTTTGACCATAGCACTGCTACTTGTCATAATGAGGTGTTCTTTACTTCTGAGCAGCAATTCTGAACATGTGAAGGCTTCTTCAGTGTCTTCCCATTCTTCAATCTCATGGTTCTGTACTTAGATGGAGCAGTCCATCCTGAACCTCAAGTACAAGGACAACATTCTATTCTTAGAGGTGAGGTACCACATAAAATGATTATTCCTCCTAAGTGATATAACTTGTATACAAATTGCTATGATTAGGCCTCCTAAGTGATATAACTTGTATACAAATTGCTTGTCTGGAACCTCAGATCCACTCTTCATTTGGTTCTTGCCTCCGGAACTGTTTCCAGGCCTTTGCTGATGAAGCCTCAATCAACGCTTTCACTCCTCTTGTCTCTTGGATGCCAGTGGTGTCTTCCTTGGCCCCTCTCCCCAGGAACACACTCCTCCTGGCTCTTCTCTGTCCATCCTCCACACGTGGTGACATCCTCGACTCCCATGTTTCGGGAACTTATATTACCCAAGGGAGCTTGGGTACTTCAGCTTTACTTTCATCCTCCCCCTTCTCCTGTTCTCTTAGTCACTGCTGATATCCACCCACATCCCAGCCGTCTGACTGTAGCTGATACGGCATGATACTACGTCCCCACTGCCTCTCTTTCCAGGCAACACTCCTATTTTCCAGTCATTCAAAACCAGATGCTTCTTTACCTTGAGAAAATAGGATGGGGCAAAAAGGCAAAGTTTTAGACATTGCTATTCTACTCATCAGTGCCCCAGTATCCGATAAGTCTTAATTTTAAAGGCTATCAATATTCTTGTTCTGGAGTTTGCTGCTTCTTCCATTCAATTGTTGAACATCCATTCAACTGCCACCTGTATATTTGTGAATAATTGACATACAATACTGCATTTTCTGCCCCCCCCCCCCCCCCTCCCCCTCCAACCACATCTTCTGATCTGATTTTTTACCAACACACTTCTTTCAAGACCATTTTTTTTTCGTCCTTGTCTGGTAAATGCAGGCGAGTTGTACTTACCTTTCATCATTATTCTTCCACTTGTCTGAACCTGAATTCACAATTACTTTGTCCGTTGCCCTATCCTCGTCTCCTTTACAACATTAACCCTCTACAACCCCCCCCCCCCTCCCATTACTTGGAGGCATTTTGACAAGAGCTGACTGGAGCTGCTTTTATAACCCTCAACTCTTCCCTGCAAGTTGTCTTCCTGTCCCTTCAATTTGCTCAACTTAATGCTGCCTTTCACTTTCTCCTACACTATGCAAAAGGCTGCAGGGTTCATTCCTGCAGCTAAACTACAGGAAGATTTAGAGCTCTTGCATCTCTACTATTACTGTTAACACTTTTCTCCACATCTAGAAAATATGCAGAATTCAGGCCATTTTGCTCCTGATGTGTCCATCCTTGATATTTATGGTTGTTGTTGCTAAAGCAGTGTCAGTCATAAGATGAATGAGCTAGTGTCACACTTTTTTGGCCATTAGAACAGGCTTTTGCCTCCATCCTGACTAACTTGCCTGCATGTCCCCCTAAAGCTCACACTTTGAACTTGAACATGCAATTTCAGCACCTTACTATTTCTTCACTCTTTCCAGACTTCGACTTTAGTCTGCTCCGTCTCTTTGGCACTCCATGGAAATGAGTTTTGACAGTATTATGAGATCCTCTGCCATCACTCACTGTGTTCCTTGCAATATCTGTTTTATATTTTTAGCCAAATTTGGGATATTATTATAATTATTATTTTACTGAATTTTCCTGAGGTCTGGCTCAAGGCTGTTCTTGTATAATAACCCTGGGATGTATTGGACTTTGTCCCATTAGTCTAACAGTTTTCTGTGCACTCTTCAAAGTACATGATGTACTTTGTGTTGAAGTACATGAAGTGTTGCAGCACCATTACTATCCTGGTTCATTCGAAGCTATATACATTGCCTTTTCTGTGAATGATTTGTAGCAATTTTATTTTTACCTATCTTTAGGTTACCTTGGGATGGTTTCGGGACTTAGCATCTCCACAGCCCAGTTCTTGACCAGGCCTCCTTGTTGCTGGACTGATTATCCAGGCCGACAGATGAGTCACAGCCTGGTTGATTAGGTATACTTTGGAGGTGCTTATCAAGTTCTCTCTTGAACTTGTGGATGTGTAGTGGAAGCGTGTTGAACTGTCTCGGGCCTCTGATGTTGATAGAGTTCTCTCTGAGTACCTATTGCACCTCTGTTTTCCAATGGGGATATTCTGCACATCCTGCCATGCCTTCTGGTCTCAAGTGGTGTTATTTCTGTGCAGATTTGGGACCAGCCCCTCTACTATTTTCCACATGTAAATTATGTATCTTTCCCGCCTGTGCTCAAGATAATACAGATTTAGGTATTTTGGTCGGTTCCAGTAATTTGGATGTTTTACCGAGCAGATTCTGGCAGTTGAGGATCTCTGCATGCTCTCCGGGTCAGCAATTTCTCCAGCTTTGAAAGGGGCTGTCATTGTGCAACAGTATTCCACTCTAGAGAGCACTAGCATCTTGAAAAGTATCATCATCGATATAACATCTCTAGTGTGAAAGGTTCTTGTTATCCAACTTGTCATTTTTCTTGCAGTTGTGACGGCTACTTTCTTGTGTTCTTTAAAGGTAAGGTCTTCCGACATGAGTACACCCAAATCCTTTACAATGTCTTTTCTTTCTATGTTATGATTTGACTGCGTTTTGTATGTGGTTTCCGTTTTTATATTTTCCTTTTTTTCCTAAGTGCATGAGCTGGAACTTATCTTCGTTAAATAGCCCATAGAAAGACCTGATTTACATCTGATTGGAGGTTTGCCATATCCTCTATGTTGTTTACTCTCATAAAATTCCTAGTGTCGTCTGCAAGGGAAGATACAGTACTATATTGTGTCCTTGTCTATGTCCGATATGAGGATTAGAGAAAGTACTGGAGCAATCACAGTACCCTGAGGGACTGAGCTCTTCACAGTTGATGGAATGGATTTTATTGTGTTGACTATTACACATTGGGTTCTGTTAGTCTGGAAATAGTAGATCCATCTACCTATTTTTCTGGTAATTCCTTTTGAATGCATTGTGTGTGCAATAACACCATGATCACATTTGTCAAAGGTTTTTGCAAAATCTGCGTAAATTACATCAGCGTTCCATGGCATCTAGGGCCATATCATAGTGGTCCAGCAACTGTGATAGGCAAGAGCACCCTGTTCTGAAACAATGTTGTCCAGGGTTAAGGAGATGCTGGGAGTCCATGTATTTTGCAATCTTACATCTTAGCACTCTTTCAAAGATTTTTATGATGTGTGATGTTAGTGCTATCAGTCTAATTTTTTGCCTCTGCCTTATTTCCTCCTTTATGAAGTGGGGCTATCTCTGCTGTTTTTAGTATGTATTAGAAATTTAGAATGTCAGTATCTAGGCTGTCTCCAAAGAACGTAAAGGGCCTGCGACAGTGGGGTTTTACAGTTCTTGATGAATAGAGTTCCAAGAATCAGGGCCTGGTGCATAGGCATACTGTCTATGGCTTCTTCAAAATCCAGTGGGGGATAGGGTAACATCTGATATTTGATGTTGGAATCACATCCATGAAAAATTCATTTGGATTGTGAATCTTCAATGTGTTTAGTGGCTCACTGAAGACAGAGTCAAATTGATTCCTCAGTATTTCGCTCATTTCTGCTGTCATCTGTGAAAGTTCCATCTCCCTTTAGCAGGGGGCCCAATACTAGATGTATTTTTTATCTTGATTTTGTATAGGAGAAAAAATATTTCGGATTTCTCGGTTTCACTGATGGCCTTTTTTGCTCTGTCTTTCTTGTTTTTTTTCATGATTCTTGTAGCTTTAATTCATATAACTAAAGAGAAAGCTTATGACACTACTGTACAGTACTTGGATATGTACTGTATTCTATCATATATACATACTGTATATATGTACAACTGTATTCTCTGGGGTTTATTGCCATTTTGCTATTCAAAGTTTCCTCTTAGATCATATATTGAAGATACAAGTTGGGACTGCTCTCTCTGCCCTTATCACCAATATGGAGTTTATTTGGTGCAATTTTTTTTTTTTTTTTTTTTTTACTTCAATTTAGACACTGCAGTATTGGCTTTTTCAGAAATAAATTTCTCATTTGACGCTGGCTCCAGTTTGTGATGGGTAATGACGTTTATTAAACTGTCATTTTCCATCCATCCTTGATCTATGGGAATCAACTGATATGAATGTTATCCATAGCAACAGCATCTGCAAGTGGCAAATGAAGGGACCTTTGTCAGGCCACTGGCTTCCAGTTCTTGAGGCCACTAGGGTTAGTGGCCCTCGGGTAAATCAGGTAGGTAAATGTGATGCAGTGACAAAACTATGAAAGGTCTAGGGCAGTCAATGAAAATGCAGGCCTTCTGTAGTCCAATTTAGGCACATCAGAAGTACAAATGGAGGAGCACTTGCTATTGGCGTCCCCAAGAAGTATGTGATAAGACTTGAGATAAAGACCTTTGAGTAGTCATTTCACAAGTAATGGACATTTAAGAGGGTAAAGACAATTATCCCATGAAAGATGTAGAAAATGATTGGACCTGTGGGCAGCTCCACACAACAGCCTATTGATCAAAGTTATCACTTGTTAAGAA